CATGATTCAAAGGATACATTTTATGGAAACTTGTGAAGTACCTCAGAGGGATAACATATGTAGAGTGATGCTCCCGGATGGAGGGTCTACCACTGCACAGCCCACGTGGCTGGTGTGTAAGTTCCAGGACCTCCTGACACTACTCTAGGCCCTGGATATTGGAGCAAAAGCGTGAGCTATCAAATTAGTGGCAGCGGGGAAACAGATAATTATGCAGGCAATTTCAACAAACTGATGTGCCCTACCTAACACTCCAGGAGAATGAAGGTGGGCTGGGAGAGGACATAGCAGGAAAAAACAGACTAATAGAAGGGAGGCCTGAGGAAGCACTCTGTGAGCCAAAATAACCAGGAGATCCCCAGAGGAAGGCAGAGTGTGCGTTTGGGGGGGGAATATCAAAGAATGCTAACAACATGGGTCTGTGAGCCAAAGGTGACACAGAAGACCTAGTGACCTTCGTCATCTTAACCCCTTCTCTGCAGGGGCAGCATTTTATTTCTTAGCTGTGACCTGAAAATCTCAAGGCCCCACTAGAGTTTTCAATACATTCTAGTGGACAGATGTGGCTCAATGCAGGCACCCAACTTCCTTCAGATGGGCATTTAGGTCATTTTCAGGTTTCTGCTCTTGCCAAGAAAACTGGGGTGACCACACTGTTCAAAACTCTTTGTGTCCCTGTCCATTGTGTCCTAGGAGTAAATAATATGAAGGGACGCTGCTGTATCTGAGGGTTTATGTGTCTGTACTGCTGGCGCTCATTCCCAGCTGGTACAGTCCTACCTCAAGGAGCCAATGTTGGCTCACCACATCCTACAATACCATGGTAGGTATTTGTTACAGATGGCCAACGTCAAGAACTTCCCCCACTCCCTGCACGCGTTGATCCTCATACTATGAGGAGAAGTCCAACTCTCCTTCCCTTGAATATGGGCTGTGCTGGAGCAATAGAATATGGCAGGAGTGATATATGTTTCATCCAAGTCTAGGTCATAAGGAGACTTCATTCCACACTTGTGTCCTGAAACTCTCCCCCTTGGGGTGCTCCCTCTGAGAGCACATGCATCATGCTCTGAGAAGTCCAAGAGAAAGGGAGAGGTCAGGTAGAGGCCGTAAGATTGTAAATCTCAAATGAGCCAACAGTCAGTGGGAAAAGCCAGTTGTGTGAGAGAGTCTACTTGGATTCCAGGCCATTAGAGCTCTACTGCAGCTCCAGCCCACATCTGACTACAACTGCATGAGGGACCCCAAGTGAGGATCACTCAGCTGATACCCGTCAACCCACAAAACTGGGAGGGACATGGATACATTTTTGTTATAAATCCCTAAGTGCTGGAGCATTTTTTAAAATGTAATAACAGATAACTCGATCATTCACCAACACTGTTTCTCTTTTATTTAATTATCTTACCCCATGAGCAGGGAGAAGAAGAAGAAAGATCCAATTTTAGCCCATATGCAGAATATCTTCTATGCCCTTATTTAATAAAAGAAACGAGCCTGGGCACAGTGGCTCACACCTGTAATGCTAACACTCTGGGAGGCCCAGGCGGGAGGATCTCTTGAGGTCAGGAGTTTGAGACCAGCCTGACCAAGAGTGAGACCCTGCATCTCTACAAAAATAAATAAATAAATAAAAGAGGTTAAATCACCCTGGTACTGGCACAAGAACGGAGGCATTGATCTTTGGAACAGGACTGAGGTTCCAGAGATGAAACCATCTGCATATGGTAATCTAACCTTTGATAAAGCAGACAAAAATATACTTTGGGGAAAAGAATCCCTTTTCAATTAATGGTGGTGGGAAAACTGGATAGCTACATGCAGAAGAATGAATCTGGATCCCTACCTTTCACCTCTCACAAAAATCCACTCAAGATGCATAACAGACTTAAACCTAAGGCATGAAACCTTAAGAATCCTAGAAGAAGATGTTGGGAAGACCCTTTCAGACATCGGCCTAGGCAAAGAATTCTTGAAGAAGACCCCCAAACCAATCACCACAGCAACAAAAATAAACAAATGGGATCTGATCAAATTAAAAAACTGCTGCTCAGCCAAGGAAACTATCATTAGAGCAAAGAGACAACCTACAGAATGGGAGAAAATATTTGCTCTCTACACTTCCGATAAAGGTCTGATAATAAGAATCTACCTAGAACTCAAAATATTTAACAAGAAAAAGATCAAACAACCCCATCAAGAAATGGGCAACGGAAATGAACAGAAACTTTTCCAAAGAAGACAGTATAATGGCCAGCAAACATATAAAAAAATGCTCAACATCTCTAATCATTAGAGAAATGCAAATCAAAACCACAATGAGATATCATCTAACCCAGTGAGATTGGCCTCTATCAGGAAATCCCAAAACAACAAATGCTGGCGAGGATGTGGAGAGACAGGAACACTCTTACACTGCTGGTGGGACTGAAAATTAGTGCAACCTTTGTGGAAAAGAATTTGGAGACACCTCAAAGAGCTAAAAATAGAAATACCATTCAATCCAGCAATAGCATTATTAGGCATCTACCCAAAGGAGCATAAGACATTCTATTATAAAGACATCTGCACCCGTATGTTTATGGCAGGACAATTCACTATTGCAAGGACGTGGAAACAACCCAAGTGCCCGTCAATTCATGAGTGGATTATTAAAATTTGGTATATGTTTACAATGGAATATTGCTCAATTCTAAGAAATGACAGTGATCTAGCACCGCTTATATTATCCTGGATTGAGCTTAAGCCCATTATCCAAAGTGAGGTGACACAGGATCAGGAAAATGGGCTCCACATGTACTCGCCATCAAATTGGTACTGACTGATTAACACTATGGTGCTCAAAGGGTGGTGGTGTTCACCAGGGATTCGGGGGTTGGGGGAGAGGTAGACTCACATCTGAGGGATGCGGTGAACAGTGTGGGGGGGAAGGGCATACCTCTAACCCTTGCTAGGGAGAGGCAAAGATATAAAATGTAACCAAAATGTTTTTAAATAAAACATTTATTGGGTGTTGGTCAGGTGGGGGGGGAGGGGATTGGTATATACATACATAGTTAGTGTGATGCACACCAACTGGGGGATGGACACGCTTGAAGCTCTGACTCGAGGGGGGAGGGCTGGCAATGGCAATGTATGTAATTTTATCATTTGTACCCCCATATTATTGTGAAATAAAAAAAAAATAATTCTCAGAAAAGTAGGAAAAGACGGAAACTTGTTCAACTTGATTGGGAACATCTACACAAAACAAAGCTAACGTCATTCTTAACACTGAAGGCTGAATGCATTCCCCCTAGGATGGAAAACAAAGCAAAAATGTCCACTCTCACCCCTGCTTTTCAGCACAGTACTGCACCGGTCAGCACAATAAGGAAAGAAAAGGCATACAGTTGGAAATCAAAGAAATAAAAGTGTCTCTGTTTGCAGATGATGTGATTGTCTGCATAGAAAATCTCAAGTAAATATCTCCTCCCCAAAATGCCAAAACTGATAAACGAGTTCAGCAAGTTTGTCTGAACTCAACAGAATTTTCATATACTAGCAATGAACATGTTAGCAAAAATTTTAAATGCAGTACCATTTATAATCACTCAATAAATGAAATATTGAGGTATAAATATAACAAACTATGTATAGATCACCAAATGTTGATGAAAGAAATCAAGGAATATCTATTAATAAATAAATTGAGGGACATACAGTGTTTATGCATTGGAAGAGTGAATGTAGTAAATATAGAATTATATACAAGATTATTCTATATGAAAAGGCAAATGAACTTGAATGGCCAAAACAATTTTCATGAAGAATGAAGTGGGAGGAACCATTCTACCTGATTTCAAGTCTTATTATATAGCTAGAGTAATCAAGATTGCAGTACTGACAGAGAGATAGATATATAGATCAATGGAACAAACTAGATAACACAGAAATAGCCCCAGGACAAGTAAAACTAACTGATGTTTAGAAAGGGTACAAAAGCAATTGAGTGAAAGAAAGAAAGTCTTTTAAACAAATTGTGCTGGAGTGACTGGATAACCGTAGATCAATAAACCCAAAGACACAAACAAAAATTTTGGCCTAAGTATCACACATTATACAAAAATTAACTACAAATGAATCATAGACTGAAATGTAAAATGTATAACCATAAGAATTTCAGAAGATGACATAAGAGAAAATCTTTGGGACTTCAGGCTTGGTGAATTTTTCTGAGACACAACACCAGAAGCACAATCCATATAAGAAGAAATCAATAAAATCTCTTTTAAGAGGATGAAAAGACAAGTTACATGCTAGGAGAAAACAAAGAACTCAGAAGTCCACAGTAAAAATACAACCATATTTGTTACGAAATGACGTGGGGAGACATTTCACAGAAGAGATCTGGAATGCTACTCAGCAATAGAAAGGAATAGACTTTTGATGTGCACAACAATTTGTATGGACCTCAAGGGCATTATGCAGAGTGGAAAAGGCCAACCGCAAATGGTCACATACTGTATGATGTCTTTTTGTATAACATGCTCAAAATGAAGCAATTAGAGGGATAGAGAACAACTGAGTGGTTGCCAGAGCTTAGAGATTGTTCTGGGACGGTGGTGGGTGTGACTACAAAGGGGTAGCATGAGAAAGATCTTTGTGGCAATGAAATAGTTTTGTAATTTGCAGTGGTGGTCACGTGTATCTACACATATGATAAAATGACATAGAACTGTGTACACAGACATTGCTCCAATGTCAATTTCCTGGTTTTGATACTGTGCTACAGTTATATAAGCTATAACTATCTTGGGAGAAACAAGGTGAGGGGCACCCTATCTTTGCAACTTCCTGTGCGTCTATAATGATTTCAAAGTAAAAGGTAAACACACTCACACACACACAGAGAGAGAGAGAGAGAGAGATTGATTCCAACAGACCTAGTGCTTCCTCTGGGATCCAATCAATAAAATGGAATGAAAGGATTTAGAAAACAGCAAGTCAGAAGTCAGAAATACTGCACAGATACTTTATACCTACTGGCAACAAGGGAAGAAAGGCTGAAACCTGAGGGGGCGGGGAATGACAGCTTGCACCATGGAACAGTATTACCAAGCATATAGAACCATTGGTACCTGGTTGCCCTTGCCAAAGAGCAACTCCTTCTAGCATACCACAGTGTAATGCCAAAGTATTGGAGGAAAGATTGCTATGTTTCCAGAATTGGATTGAATTGCCAGCTGATGGTATTGTCATAAGGCTGGATACTATTACTCCTCCTGATCATATTTTGAAAAGGATTCTGCTCAAGGAGTTGGCATTGTTGACACTCATGACCCCATATGTTTTGATCTTCCTTCACTTGAGGATGGCAGTCTCAGAGTTATTCTGCCCATTCTCGCAGGAGCCTCTGAAACATCCTTTTGCTGTTCTGCTGTCTCTGTTTTTGGCTCTTCTCCTCTCTTTCCTGTGCCCTTTCTTGTAGAAGAGGGGGTTGGATGGCAGCAGGGTTGAGCGTCAAGCTATTGAGTTCTTGTATTAGCTTATCCCAGGAAGAGGAATGAGAGATTGCTTTCTTCCCCTTCCCTGTTGAGATCCCAGAAGTGTTCCCCATATACCTCTGGCAGTAGCGGCATTCACATTTGAATCTCTTCTGATCTGTATCACATGAGGAAGAGGCTTTTCCTTTTCTGTCAACCTGATAAGGTGCCACCAGCTTGACATATCTCTGTCTCCTGCGTTCTGCTAACTTTTTTCTCTTCTGAGGTAACCTTGAACTTCCCCACTGCTGTTCTTCTTCCATCCTCTCAAAGAAAAAAAGCATATGTTAGAAACACAAAGAGTAGATTTAAAACACACTGCGTTACACACCGTTCCTGGAACGCCTGCAAACAAACTGACAGGCATTTCAGAAAGAGGCCCTCATAATTTCAGCAACTGAAATCTAATCAATTTGTTCAGTCATCTCTTTGGATAGGCACCAACATAAGTAAATAATTTAGTCTGAAAAATATGGGATATTGGTTTTAACCCAATTTGCTCCCTGCTGGATTACACATGCCACAAGAAACCTCAGGATCATCCTTCTTCAGGAGGAGAATACAGATCACAATTTCTTAATGTATAAATATTGATATCTTTTGAAACACTACTCCATGAAAAGCATGCCCTTTAACTTAAAAACAAACACACACACACAAACAAAAACTCATGCTCCCTCCATCAGTTTCATGTAATGATATATGAGGCAGTTCTATCTCAACAGACACCTTGAGATTCTGAGGCCCCACAGATAAATTTGCTCCTGATCCTATGAGGTAAGGTACTAAGGATAATGAGATATTTACGCTGCCACTTGTTTGGGCGGGAAGAATGGAAACAATAAAAGTGCCCCCCAACCCCCAATCAACACCTCATGACCCCTCTCTCCCTCAGCTACAGTCACTCACTCCAGAGGGAGAAATGTCCGAGATTCCTTGGAACAAATATGTGCTCAAGTTCCTCATTACCTAGGGTTTCCTTCACCAACTCAGGCCCTTCTTAAGACAAGCAAAAAACTTGAGAAGAGGGAAATGAGAAAGTCCTTGGCCACAGATTCAGTTTATCAGGTGATTTCCCATGTTTTACTCTTCCAGTGCTTTGCTACATTTCCCTCTAATCCAATCCTAAACATACTGAGTGCCTATCTCATGAGCTCCCCTGTACCGGGTGACACAAATACAGAGATATGTGACAAATAATAGCCACCATGTATCTAGTGTTGCCTTTGGGCCAGGTACTGAGACTCAGGTGTTTTGCATCCATTAGCTCATTAATCCTCCTGAGAAAACTTTCAAAGTAGGTAAGGCTACTGCCATTTTGCAGATGAGGAAACTGAGGCTTAATAGAAGAATGACTTAAGTGTCAGGGCCAGGATTGGAATTCATATGTATTCTATATTACACCAAAGCCAATGTCAATGAAAACTGTGCACACAGGAGTGAAAGGGACTGAGAATGGAGAGGTAACAAGGGTCAAGTCATGGAGAGCCTCGAATGCTATGGTAAGAGCAGCAACAAAGGCACAGACCATGTGACATACCTAAACCATTCCCCATCCAGCAAGCAGCTGCAATCTCTCTGGGGACAGAAGTAGGCATGAGCTCAACTGATCCATACAATGTAAGTGTTTGTATATTTATAATTTCTAGACATGGACACACATTGGGTTGGGAAGGGTTCCTGTTCAGGATCTGGGTGAAGGGGGTGATGCATGGAAGAAAGACTGAGAACACTGTAACAGAGGAAGAAGCAGCTCTTGGAAAGACCCTCTAATCTCTTTGAACCTATTTGGCATCTGTACATAAAGGATAATAAAACCCACCATTCGAGGTTATGTTGTATATGAGTGATTAGCACAGGGCCCGTCCATTATAGGCTTTTCAGAGATGGTAACAGTGCCCCTTCTAAAATTGATGCTAAGGAAATAACTGGATTAGTGTAAACAGATTTATGATCAAAGATGTTTACCCTAGCCTACATATATATATATATATATACACACACACATATATATATATATATATATATATATATATATATTAGTGCAAAACTGGAAACAAAGTCCATGGATAAGGGTTTGGTTGAATAAATTTGGCTTCATACCTGTGATGGAACGCTGTGCATTTAAACCTCTGATTGTGTTTTCAAATTATCAGGTCAAACCCAGGAAGTGACATCTGGCTTTTGTAGAGAAAGCAGCTAAGATGACCATCTTGTTATCTTTGACTCCTAGGATATCTTACTATGCTGTTCTATCCTTCTTACAAGCCTTACCCCAACCCACCTCATCCCTCCTCCACACACATCTAGTCAACCTTCAGGTCTCAACTCACGTGGCACTTCCTCTGGCCAGCTTTCCCCAATTCTGCTAAAGGTCGTTCACCATATCTTTTGGTTGTAATTGCTTTCATAGTTATCTGTCTTTCCCGCTAGGTTAATATCCCTCGTTCCAAGCACAGTGTTGTTTGGATGTCCTGGTACAGACTCCAGGCAGGCTCCAGGTACAGACTCCCACTTCACATGTTTGCACAGGCTCTTCCCATGATTACCCCAGGTATCACTGGGCCCTGATCCCACACTATCTTCAAGAATCCACTTAAATGTTACCTTCTTGATGAGACCAACCCTGAACACCCGATTTAAAACTTCATACCCACCTATCAGCACTCCCAACCCCCCTTTCCTGCTCCACTTTTCCTATAGTATGTATCACCAGCTACTGCACTGCATTATCCCTTGATTAATTTAAATTCTTTGTTCATTGCTATCTCCCCCAGGAGAATATAAACCCAACAAGGGCAGGCGTTTTAGACTGCTTAATGCTCTGAAGCAACCCCAGCTCCTAGGACACTACCTGGCACATAGGTGGTCCTCAACAAATGTTTGCATCTGGAATGAATGTCTGGCTCTAGAGCCTGTGAACTTTTTATCAGACGTTTCAAGTAAAAACATTGACATTGCAGGAAAACCTGTGTCACAGTGGAAGGTAAACTACTGGGGTGCAGTCAATAGGCAGATTTGACTGCTAGACCAGTTTCCTGTTACTCAAGTTGCTTGAAACATTACAAGTGAAAACATTTAAATCTTACTAGATGGAAAATGAAGGAAGCTGATTTTAAGTTTACTGAATGGACCAAGATCTAATTCTGGCTCAGAAAAGGGTGCTTAAAAGGAGAATCTGCTTATTATACTTGATATCTCTTTCAGCTAGAATGCATGTTTGTAAAATATTTTATTTCCATTGAATGATTTTTGAGGTTGTTATAAAAGTAGACTATTTGGAGTGTCACAAAAACTAAAAGACTATATGTGCTTATTGAAATAGAATATTTAAAGAGTCACAAAACTACAAAGGGAGGGAAAAAATAACCCATAGGTAACCATGTTTCTTTCTGTCTCTGTGTGTGGAAGTGGATATATGTATAATTTATACTGCTGAGGCCATTACCTCTATACAGTTTTAGGCATGGCAGGTTTGTACTATTGTTTGTTCTTCTTTTCCTATCCACAAATGTCATTATTTAGAACATAAAATAAACAACACAAGCACACAAACAAACAAACAAAACAAGAATTATTTGGAAGAAAATATAAGTCACAGGGCAAAACTTGCACAGATATAAAAATGCACCATGAAAACTACTAGAAGTAAAATGCTGTTACTGGCAGACAAATACCATCATTAATTTTAATTGACATGACTGTTTACCTGGGAGAGGCAAGAGAGTTAGTGAGAAGAACTCTTTGAATAAAGTATTGAGGGGCCTTAATGGAAAATCTGAAAGACTTAGGAGAAGAAAGTAATACAATTCTTTTGAGCACTCTAGAAGAAGATTTCGATGAATGGAGCAAACTCAAGTCTACTTAGAGAATGTTGGGTGTGGTGGCTGCAGTGGGGAGAGTGACATCACTACAAAATCCCCCAGACTCCAGTCGCATCACAGGTCTACCTTACAATTACAATGCGGTGACCCCTTGACCCCATTAGGGGTGCCATTACATGCAGTGGTTTACCAGGAACAGGCCAGATTATGCCCCTTGGGCATAGGGACCTTGGCAGGAGGAGATGGGGTGGGGCAGGAGGAGGAGGCAATGGTATTACAGCATGAGAGGGGTATTGCATTGTAGGCCAGTCCCCCAAAGTAATGGTAGATGCAAACCACGTTTCCCAACCACAGCATCCATAATGGAGGAACAGAGATAATTTCTGTTCCTGTTCGTGACTGGACATTTTGCACCCCCAAAATACAGTAACTGCATTGAATTCTGCCTCTCTCAAATAATTAGCAAAATAGAACTGGGTACAACTGGGGTGGAATATTTTATTTAAAATTTTGTGAGGTGGGATAAAGTTTCCTTTCATCTCCTGGTAATTGCTTGTACCCTGGGAGGTACAGCTAAGCAAGGCCTTTACAAATTGCCTTAAAAATTGTGGATAGTCTCCTCAATAAATGGTGTTAAGACAACTAGATATCCACACACAGAAGAATAAAATTGGACCGTTATCTCACACCATGTACAAAAATCAACTCAAAATAGATTAAAGATGTAAATGTAAGACCTGAAACTGTTAAATTGCCAGAAGAAAACATAAGGTAAAAGCTCCATGACATTGGTCTGCGCAATTATTTTTGGATATGACCCCAAAAGCATAGGCAACAAAATCAAAAGTGGACAAATGGGACTACATCAAATTAAAAATGCTCCTGCACAGCCAAGGAAACAATCAATGGAGGAAAGAGACAACCTACAGAATGGGAGAAAATATTTGCAAGCCATACATCTGATAAGGGGTTGGTTAATATCTGAAATATGCAAGGAACTTGACTCAATCATAAGAAAGCAAATAACCCAATTAAAAATTGGCAAAGGATCTGCATAGACATTTCTTAAACTAAGATACACAAATGGCCAACAGGTATGTGAAAATATGCTCAACATCACTAATCATCAGAGAAATGCAAATTAAAGCTATAATGAGAAACCACCTCACACCTGTTAGATTGACTATTATCAAAAGAACAAAAGATAGCAAGCACTGGTGAGGATGTGGAGAAAAGGGAACTGTTGCACATTATTGGATGGGAATGTAAATTAATACAGCCATTATGGAAAACAGTGTGGAGGTTCCTCAAAAAACTAAAAGTATAACTACCAGATGATCCAGCAATCCCACTACAGATCAGATACCCAAAGAAAATGAAATCAGAATTTTGAAGAAATATCCACACTCACACGATCATTATAGCATTATTCGCAATAATAGTCAAGATAGAGAATCAACGCAAGCATCCATCAATGGATAAATGGATAAAGAAAATGTGGCATATATACACAGTGGAATACTACTTAGCCTCACAAAAGAAGGACATCCTGTCATTTACAACAACATGGATGAACCTGGAGGACATTAGGTTAAGTGAAATGAGCCAGGCACAGAAAGACAAATACCACCTGATCTCACTTATATGTAGAATCCAAAAAAGTTGAATTCATAGAACAGAGGGTAGAATTGTGGTTACCAGTATCTGGTAGAAGGTGAAGAGATATTGATCAAAGGATATAAAATTACAGTTAGATAAGAGGAATAAGTTCAAGAGATCTGTTGCACAACATGGTGACTACAATAATAACAACATATTGTATTCTTGAAAATTGCTGAGAGTTGACTTTAAGTGTTCCCCACACACACAAAAAATGACAAGTATGTGAGGTAATGCATATGTTAATTAGCTCGATTGAGCCATTCCACAGTGTATACATACATTCAAAACATCATGTTTCACACCATAATAGACACAATTTTATGTGTCAGTTAAAAAATAAATATATTTAAAAAAGAAAAAACAAAGTTGCACCAAAATAAAACAAATCTTATCCAACCATAAGGTTTTGTATGTATAAAGAAGTGGTGCCTGAAATGTGAAAGGGAAGCCAGTGACTGATAATATGATCAAATTTCTAATCACTTTATAATTCCCCTACTGGGATGTGCGCCTACTCTAAAAACTATCACCCAAGAATATACCAGTTCTCCAAATATGATATACGATGCTGCTTGTTGACTCATTTTAGCAAAATTATCTGGATGAATACATATTAGTGCAGGAAACAGAGCATAATAAAATTATACCCAATCATGAGTCTCATAGTGAATGAATGGTCTCTCTCTGCCTCTTTCTACTCTCCCTACCGCCGGCCCCTCTCTCCCCTCCTACAACCCGCTAGCTTCACAGACACTCACTTACAGACATAAACTAGGAAGAAACAGAAAGAAGATGTTCTGATGATACCAATACTGGAGATGTAAGTTTAAACAAGTACTTCAATTAGTTGGCAGGGGGAAGTTGATGATGGCAGAGTGATATGGGGAGAATGATGCCAATGAAAAATATTTCTAAGCAACAGTTGACATAAAACACCACTGCAGAAGTAATACCACACCTAATGGTTTAAACTTCATGTATCTTCTCCGAACTACTGGAATTTGACCCATAAAGGATGAGTTAAGTGCTTCCTAATTCTGCCCATGAATAGAATGGCTGTGCCACAAAGACAGGGATTGTGTTGTCTTCTGGTTCTGGCTTTGCCTTGACAAATACCTGGCAGCATAGATACAACACATTTGAGTTCACAGAAGAGGAAGGGTGGAAGACGGTTGATGGGCTGACTTGGTGTCACTTCTAGAATGATACAGTAGATACCTACAGACTGGCCTGATGTTGGGGAAAACACCACACAATCCAGGGCTTCTGTCTTAGCTCCCTTGCAATTATATCTAGAGACCTTCCTCAAAAGTAAGCACAATTATATGCCCACACCTCTTATGCTGTGTTGAGGATTATATGAGATAACAAATATAAATGTTGGTGCTCACAGGTGTAACCAACACAAGACCATAAGGACTGTCTCATAGCACTTGACATTTGTTCCTTAGAGAGGTTGTGGGCAAAAGCCATGAGGAGTGCCTGCTCTGGAGACACACAGCCTGGGTTTGTATCCCAACTCATTCATAAGCTGTGTGTCTGTAAGCAAGTTGTGTGACCTCTCTGGGCATTGGGATCTCATTTGTAAATTGGGGGAGGGTAATGATTGCGCTTACCCTATGGAGTTGTTGGAGATGATTAAATGAGGTGAAACATGCAAAATACTCTGCACAGTGCCTGGCACACAGGACAAAATCAGAATACCTCAGCTTATAGAAACATATCTTGATCAATAACAACTTCCCACAACATACAAGCAGCCTGAGTCCTCTGTTCAAATTTGGGCCTATGAGTTAGGAGTAAATATATCATTATCCTTCCCCCTCTCTCACTGAGATAAGGGAAGAACCATTTATGGTCATTGTAATTCCCAAGCTCTCTGTTGAGATTCTAAGGGAAGAAAAAGTTCACATCAACTTACCTGTTCAGAAGTCCCTTCAGGTACGCAAGAGGTTAACTTTTGCTGCAACAGAGCTCTGGATGTCTCATCAAAAACAGATTTTTTTCAGAGTAGTACTTATTTTTCTCATTGGGAGTCTGTCATGGTGCCAGCTGGGTACTTTCCAGAGGGCTCTGTGGGGAAATCAGATTTAAACTTTTACGTGTCATGAACAGCAGGACGCTCATCTCAACCTTGATACCATTTTGAAATGGCACAGTGTTGCTGTGGGTCCCATGCTAGAGGCATGACAATGCTGTCCATTTTCATCACACAGTGGGCACCAGAGAACAAAGAATGAAACACGGAACACTAAAGCAAAGGACACCAGCACTCATACGAAGGTGGAAGGTGCTCATACCTGCAGGAAGGATTCTCCGCTTCCCACTGCTTCCCACAGTGGGGAGTGAGACTGCACTGCCTGGCTGCCTTTGTTGCTGTTCCTACTTCAGTACCCCAACTTCTGACCTGACCTCAGACACAGCTCCTGTTTAGAACTCCCCCTTGAGCTACCCTGCACTTTGTATTATAGTTCTCCTCTCCTCTGCCTGTTGAGTGTTTGCTTGAGATTTTCTCAATCTGACTCTCTCAGGGATTGCCCATAACTTCTTAGCATAGACAAGGCTCCTCTTCCTTATTTTCCAGTATAATTATGAGTCAAAGGTAAAACCCTATTCTGGCATGTTGTAAGAATTATGCCTGGAGAAGCAAAAAGCAAGGCTTCCTCTCAGGCCACCATTTGGATTCCATACCCAGGTGGTGCAGAGACAGGACGTTTCTGAAAACCATTGCTGGAGTGGATATGTCGCCCTTTTATATTCTTGGTATCACTGATGATTATCAGGGACAATGGCCCAATTGATGCCCTGGATGGTGAGACCTCTAGAGAATATTGTAGCATCTGACAACATTAATACATAAGGACAGGGGGAGTGGCTCAGTGAATCAGACTGAGAAAGAGTGACCAAAGAGACAGGAGGAAAGTAAGCAGAGTGGCCTCATTGTGGAAGTGAGAAGGGTCACCCAGACAGCCCAATTCCCCTAATGACTGGGTTCACGTTGTTGAACCTGCTGAGACCAGCATTCCATCTATAAAGTAAAATAACTGACTTAGTGAGGTGGCACTCTTCCAATAAGTCTTTATTGAGGTGCCCCTCTGCTATAGCAGTCTGTGGTATAACGAAAGGAGTCAAAGAAGTACTCAGAGAAGCCACCACCTGCGGTCCAAGATGCATTATGAAAGGGAAGATGTGCATGTTACACTGGTACGGGAAGGTTCTGAACTAAGTGGAGAGATAAAAGACACAAACACCCTTTGAATTAACAGAAAAGTGAGATGAGAGATTTGCTCTATCCACTCATTTACAGTTTATCATTTCCAATGAACCAAGTGCCGGTATAACCATAGCTACACTGCACCAAGTGGGTAGCACGGGTCATCGTCACTCACAGATAAATGTGCCCCAGTCCCTGCTCAGCGCCTGGTTCCAGGATCTGTGCTTTGGTACACGTGGCCCACAGGGGACTGTTTCCTGCAGGATAACAATCCTCAGGTTGCTCACAGTCTGGGGGACAGGGAGGCGTAGTGAAGATAACGACAGAACTCGCCATGAGAGCCTGTCTCTTCCCTGGCTGGCCTGAGCCAGGGGAGGTGTGGAAAGCAGACGAGGGCCCCATAGTTAAAGTGGCTGGGAACGACTTCTCCCAGGGCCTGCTATGTTACATAATGTTATCATGCCCACTTGCAGATGAGGTAACTGAGGATCAGAGAAGTTCAGCAACTCAGTCAAGTGGTGGAACCCATTTTCAACCTACGCCTGTTGAAATGTGAAGTCCTTTGCTTCATGACTATTACCAATCTCCCAATGATATATGGTCATCCATTTTTATTCACATTCACTACCCCTACTTCCTCCTTATCCTGGCTCACTCCTTTACAGCCTTCAAACTTACTATGTATAATAAGGACACCTTTTGGTTATATGAGGCCTTTCTTCTTTTATCAAGGGGCTTCTTACGGCCCCGTATACCCTGGAACAGCCTAAAACTGAACGTTAAGCTTCAATCTGCTCTGTGTCCCCAGGGTGGGTCAATGAAAAGTGAGTGGATCGCTGCTATCAAACACAGATTAAAAACCCTATCCACATGCAGAAATCGACTGGAAACACTCTGCTCCTCTCTAAAGCTATTCACAACATGCTGCAATAGTGGACTTTACCAAAGACCAGAAGTTCCCACGCAGGAGAAAATACCTCTTTGATTTTCTACGATCATGTGCACCAGTTATTGGGCATTGCTAATAAATACTGCTCATTACCACATGGCAATAATTTCTGATTTTCTCTTTCTCCATCATTAATAACTGAGTAGTGGAGCCAAGCAAAGTCATGAACCCTTGATTGTCTGACGTATTAGTCATATGACCAAATTTCCAATAGCAGTGCAATTCTGATGCCAACTGTCTGCTCCACACCAACAAACTGGTTATCCAAGAAGTCCTTTGCTTGCCTGATATTCTTGACAAACTTGTTTAAAGAAGTATAAGCTAATGCAGGAAACCAAAAGCATCACTTAAGAAAACATGTCTAATCATACTTCACATATTTCTGAACTAGATCTGCCAAATTACTTCAATATGGGAAATGTACGGTTCCATATTGAATCAATTTTCCATTGCTGCTATAAAAATTCACTACAAACTTCATGGCTTCAAGTGACAGACATTTGCTATCTCACAGTTTCTGTACGTCAGAAGTCCGGGTTAGATTGCCTAGGTCCTCTGCTTGGGTGTTAGAAGGCCAAAGTCAAGATGTCTGCAGGACTGTGTTCCTTACTGGAGGCTCTGAGGAAGAACATGCTTCCAGGTTCATTAAGTGTGTTGGTAGAATTCAGTTCCTTGCAGCCTTATGTGTGAGGTTCCCGTTCCCTTGCTGCCTGCCAGCTGAGGGCCAGTTTTTGCTCCCAGAAGCTGCCCAAATCCCTTCTCATGCTCTCCCTGTGGCCTTCTCCAGCAACAATGGGTTGAGTCCCTCTCCTTCACACTCAGAGTTTCTCTCTTCTGCTTTTAAGGGTTTATGGGATTACATTGCACCCAATCAGATAATCCTGGATAATCTCCGTAGCTTAAGGTTAACTAAATTCCAGCCGAAAATCCCTTCACAGCAGTACCTAGATACATGCTTCACGAAATAACCAGGGGACAGGAATCTTGGGGAGCTATCTCTAGAATTCTGCCTACCACGCATATGAACACTTAAATGATTCTTACATTTTCTGTGGGATGTTGGCGAGTTGTGTGGCAAGAAGCCAAGGAAACTACAATCTCTGACACTGACTCAAGCCCAATTAGCACCCAAGTGCCAGAGAAAGTCTAAATATCCTGTTCCTCCAACCAGAAAAAGACAAAATATTCCATACATAGAGTTTTTTTTTCACCTTAAAATAACCTTTATTTTTTTTAAAGTTAATATATGCAATATAGGAAACTGAAAAACACGAGAAGCAAAGAACAAAGTCATCCACAATCACAAGCATTTCACAGTTGGACATGTCCTTCTAGATCCTGACACATACACAACATCCAATTTTATGGGATTGAGATAGTACAGTATGCATCATGCTTTTTCACACATCATGAATATTTACCAATCGAAAATCTCAAAGCTATGTGAGTATTTGGATAACCAAGAATACACTACACCAACTCAATCTGTTAGGGAAAAAAATGTAATCCTGCCTTTCTTGGGACGAAAATTTCATAGAAGACAAAAATGGCAACAGGCCTCTAGATAAAAGTACTGGCAGAGTTCCGATTAAAATACTTCATTCCCTTAATGCTCAATTTAAAATCAAACATAATACATAGAGTTTTAAATGACAACTGTGACACTGGAGGAATAGAATTGTCCAGTTAGGAATTCCCACCTGTGCTTAGCAATAAAGGTTACATTTGTGCATGGTATTGTAGAAACACTAACTTATACCTGGCCTGTGTTTAGGAGATCCTCTTTCTCTCTGTGGATCACCTCCACGCCGTCTCAATGCCAAATGGTGCCTCAGACCTTCTGGCCACAAAACGAAGAGCTGCCCCTGGAGAAGATAGGCATTAGGCCACTCAGAGCAGAAGTCCTCCTGAGATCCTAGAGAAGCTGCATTCTCCAGAAGCTATCCCTCAGAGAGTGGTGATTGGATGTGGCAAACAATTCCTGTGAAAAAGCAGGACCCCCTGGAAGAGTGGAGCTTTCCTTACAGGGATAGGACAAAAGATAAACAGTGTTTTAAATTCCCACCCTCTAGGTCTGAGGTAACTGAAGGAGGAAGGTCCAGCACCTAAATGGTGACCAGCTTCTTGGTGTGACAAGCAGGTTCTATTTTTTTTCTTTTCATGTGAAATAGAGCACTACTCCCTGATTGAGGCCCCAGAAACCAACACATCCCTCATCCCCCACCCCTGACAGGACAGTGTGGCAGCAGTGTGGGGGACCTCCCCCCGGGTTTTGGTTGTTTGCAGGGACACGTGACCCCTGATGACAAAAGAAGAGTTTCCAGGGCACCAGAGGTGATGTAACAGTGGAGTGATAAAGAAATAGGTCATAAACTCCATCCCTCTGGTGGTGGGAGGCTGGGCGTGGTGGCAGGGTGATGGTGTCCAGGCAGCAGGAGGTGACTGGTAACAGGATTGAAAGAGGGTGGGCATGTCTGTGTCACTAGCTGGCGAAATTATCTCTTTTTTTTTTTCAAATTCATGCAGCAAATTTTATTACTGGAATCAAGGTATTGTGACATAAAATTTACTTGTCCTCCATGGCACAAAAGTATAGTAACACAGACCTAGGGGTATTCAGAGAATTACTCTTAGTAATAGTTATTAGTAGCAAAAATAGCTATCATTTATGAGCACTTATGTGTTACACTGCACTATTTCATATACATTCTCATTTAAGCTTCATAACAATCTGTTAAGGTTGGTGCTAAACTCTCTATTTAACAAGTAAGAAGCTAAAGCTCAGAAAGTTTAAGAAAACTGGCCTGGATCACACAGCAGAAGTGTCAGAGCAAGGATTTGAACCCAAATTTCAGTTTCCAAAGATCAGACTCTTAACTCTGTGGAAAAATGAGTGGCTCATGACACATGAAACAGTATTTCTATTAGTTGTGAAGTATTGCATTAGGTGTGTCAAACAAAGGAAGAAGAAAGAAAAGAAAGAAAACTAATTGAACATCCACTCTTCATTCATTAATAAATATACCCTAAGAACTACATCTTTAGGATTTTGGTAGGTACTAGGGATAGAGGGGTGTAAAAGCAGACTTGGTCCCTACACTTAAAGTGCTTATTTTGGGGAAAGAATATAAAGGATTAAGTAAACATGCACAAATATATAATTATAAACTGTAAATCCTAGAATACCATGAAATTGTTAAAAGAGAGAATAATAGGGGCAGAGGGATCATTGAGAGACAATAGTTCAGGAAGGTTCAAGAAAGTCTTTTTGAGGAAGTGACATCTTAAGTTGAGCCCTGGAAGCCAAGTCATAGTCAGTCAGGGGACTTGTGTGGCTTGGCTTGGTGTAGGAATGAGCCTGAGGAACTGAGAGTCAGCCAGCACAGAGCTGGAGTGGTCTGAGCAAAAGGTAAGTGGCAAGAGCTGAGTCTGGAGAGAAACAGACAAAGGTTAGATCACAAAGGACTTGCAGCTCATGGTAAGGATTTGGGATTTTATCTCAAAAACAATAGGAAGTTCTAGAGGGTTTTCAATCAGAGGGATATGATCCAAATTTATGTTTAAAATATTACCGCGTGGGACTCAAATCTAGTTATAGGAATATATATATATATATATAATCACTCTGGCTACTGAGAGGTAATATAATCATAGAGGCAAGATTTATAACAGGGACACAGGAAACTTTGAGAAATCTAGACAAGATGATGGCTTCGACAAGACAGTAGAGAAGGACAACTAAAAGTAGATGGTTTTGAAATATGTGCCATATAATATCATAGATACTGTAAAATGTATTTTCTTTTTTTTATTTCAGCATACTGTGGGGGTACAAATTTTAAGGTTTTGAATAATTCCCTTGCCCCCCTATCCCCACAAGTCTGAGTTTCAAGTGTGACTATCACCCAGACAGTGTACATCTCACTCATTTTTTTTTATTTCGGCATATTATGGGGGTACAGATTTTAAGGTTTCATTAAATGTCCATTTTCCCCCTCCCCCCACAAGGCTGAGTCTCCAGCATGACCATCTCCCAGATGGTGCACATCTCACTCATTATATATGTATATACCCTCCCCCTCCCCCCTGCCCAATACCCTATTACTGCAGTACCTATGTGACCACTTAGGTGCTGTTCAGTTAATACCAATTTGCTGGTGAGTATATGTGGTGCTTGTTTTTCCATTCTTGGGAAACTTCACTTAATAGTATGGGTTCCAGCTCTAACCGGGAAAATATAAGATGTGCTATATCACCATTGTTTCTTAGAGCTGAATAGTACTCCATGGTATATATATACCACATTTTATTAATCCATTCTTGGATTGATGGGCACTTGGGCTGTTTCCACAGCCTTGCAATTATGAATTGTGCTGCTATAAACAATCAAGTGCAGGTGTCTTTTTTGTAGAGTGTCATTGGATCATTTGGGTAGATGCCTAGCAATGGGATTGCTGGATCAAATGGTAGATTCACTTGTATCACTTTAAGGTATCTCCATATTGCTTTCCACAGAGGTTGAACTAATTTGCAGTCCCAACAGCAGTGTAGGAGTATAGAATTTTTTTATTTCTATCTTGATTTCTTCATTTATGAAGTAATCATTTAGTAGGAGGTTGTTTAATTTCCACGTTTTTGTGTAGAAATGTGAGTTTCTGTTACGGTTGATCTTTACTTTTATTCCACTGTGATCTGAGAAGATACATGGTATGATTTCTATTTTTTTAAATTTCTTGAGGTTTACTTTGTGTCCTAGGATATAGTCAATCTTAGAGATGTCCCATGAGCTGATGAGAACAACGTATAGTCAGTGGATTTTGTGTAGAATGTTCTGTAAATGTCGGTCAGACCCAGTTGTTCCAAGGTTCTGTTTAAGTCCATTATTTCTTTATTAATTTTCTGTTTGGAGGATCTGTCTTGTGCCATCAGTGGGGTGTTGAAATCTCCAGTGATTATGGAGTTGCTATTAATCCATTTGCTTAGGTCCAATAAAGTATGCTTTATGAATCTGGGTGCACCTAAGTTGGGTGCATATATATTTAAAATTGTTATCTCTTCTTGTTGAACTGTGCCCTTCACCATTATATAATGACCCTCTTTGTCTTTCACTACTTTTGTTGGTTTAAAAACTAAATCATCTGAAATTAGAACTGCCACACCAGCCTTCTTTTGGCTTCCACTTGCTTGGAATACTGATATCCACCCTTTTACTTTTAGTCTATATGCATCCTTGCAGGTTAGATGTGTTTCCTGAAGACAGCACATACTTGGCCTGTATTTTCTTATCCATTCAGCCAGCCTATTTCTCTTGAGTGGAGAGTTTAAGCCATTCACATTTATTGAGAGAACTGATAGGTAAGGTAGATTACTGTTCATTCTGTTGGGTTGGATGTTGTTGCTTTGATTTCTCTCTTGAGCCATTGTACTATCTGGCCTTTAATCTTTAGGTTTGGTTTTTTTATATTCGTGAGTTTTATTATGGTTTCTGTGCGTAACACTGTTTTGAGTACTTCTTGTAGGGCTGGTCTTGCTCCTTGGTGAGTTCTCTGAGACTTTTGCTTGTCTGAGAATGTCTTTATTTCTCCTTCCATATATGAACTTATTTTGCAGGGAAAAAGAATTCTAGGGTGGGCATTGTTTTGTTTCAAGGAGTGAGAATGGGCTCAGTCTCTCCCTTGCTTGTAAAGTCTCACTAGAGAAGTCTGGTGTTATTCGAATTGGCTTTCCCTTGTATGTAACTTCTTCTTTCATCTTACAGCTTCTTAGAAGGGGCCTCTTTCAGTTATACTTTGGTCAGTCTGATGACTGCATGTCGTGACGTCTTCCTGTTTGCATTGAATCTCCCAGGGGTCCTCTGAGCTTCTTCAACTTGTATATCGAGATTTTGAGCAAGGCCTGAGAAATTTTCCTCATTATATCTTCAAATAGCTTGTCCAACCTTGGGTGTTTCCTCTTCCCCTTCTGGTAACCCTATGACCCTCACATTAGATTTCTTCACATAATCCCACATCTTTTGTAGGCTTTGCTCTTTTCTCTTGTTTCTCTGCTCTATCTCTGTGATGGTTTTATTTAGTTGGAGGGTGTTATCTTCATTTCTGAGATTCTTTCTTCTGTTTGATCTACCCTGTTCTTGAGACTTTCCACTGTATTTTGTAGTTCCCTGAATTGATTCTTCATTTCCAGGAGTTCGGTTAAACTTTTCTTCATTGTGTCCATTTCTTTTTCAAGTTCCTGGAGGCTTTTTGTGGTTTCTTTGTGTTGGTTATTGAGTTGTTGTTGCAGCTGGGTGAGTGTTCTTATGATCCACATACGAAATTCCTCTTCTGTCATTTTGGTTGCCTAATATGGGTTGGTGTCCTTTTCTAGGGGGCTGGTGCTCCTCTTTGGGGGTGTGTTTTCCGTTTGTTTCTTCATATTTCCTGAGTTCTTTCGCTGATTTCTTCCCATGTTGATCAGTTGTTGTTTCTTTCCTTAGGTTATTGTTTGGGTATTCACACACCTTGTTTAGTTTCTGAGGCGTTAGGTTGTGTCTGTGGGTGAGATTTGACCACTCCCTGTATATTGAGTCAGTGGGTGCCGTGGAAAGGCTGTGCAAGATGCTGTCCTGTCAGTAGGTGGCGTTTTGCTTGGAGGAACAGGCTATGCTGTTGATTTTGTGTCCTGTTAACAGATCTTGTTCTGGGCGGAGCTGGGTTGGGTAAGCCTGCCCTTAGGCAGTTAGTAGGGGTCAAAGTTCTCTTCTCTGCTTCCAGGAAAAGCTGTCAGGGCGGGGCTGGAATGGTCCCACTCAGCCAGAAAGTCTGCTTGTGGGGGTGGGGCTGTCTGAGACCCACAGTCTGGAGGAGGCCTCGCTTCTTTCCACCCTCCCCAACTCCGCAGCTACTCCTGGGCCTCTGCCAGCAGGCCAGACCACAGGCCACCAGGCCTCCCTGGATTGTGATGCCGGCGGGGGAGGTTCCCTGTGAAGAAATGCTGCCTGGGCTGGGCGCACAGCCTCCCTTTGGTGGGAGGGTTGCCCTCTAGGATGCTGCTCTGCCCCTGGAGGCACACACACCTCAGCCGGCTGTTTACAAATATCCCTTCTGTGCCCCGGGGAATGCTAGACCTCAGTGCAGGGGATCTGGTCTGCAGGTCCGACCTCTGGGTCCCAGAGTTCAAACTGTATCCCCACCAGGGAGAGGAGTTCGGGTCCCAGTTCACCCACAGGGAGCCCAAGCTGTGTCTGTGTCTCTCAGCCTCTGAGTCGGCACCGTTCTCCTGGGA